GTTAAGGAAATTACGCGAAAAGCTTTTAAATCGCATAAGAATTATTATTACAGATAGTATGTGTCTATTTATCATACTTTTGCTGATGACACTTCTATAGAGGAGCCATATTAAACCTTTTTGTGGATTTGGGGTTTACACAACATTATGGGTTTTTTCTTTTTAGTGCATTTTAATAAAAGCTTGTTTTAAAGTATTTTTTTTTACTATTCATTCATTTACACTTTTTTAGTTAGATATATTTCTCAATCTATCCATTTCAAGTAATGCCTATACTACTAATCGTTGAGGAGTGTCCTCGTGAGGAAACAATCCTGTCTGCAGCATTCTATTTCTATCATTTTATTGTATTGTCATCAGAACTGAACAAGCATGCAAAATTTCAAAGTCGTAAGTTTAAAGGAAGTGGTTTAAATTTGGCTTGCAAGATTTGAACTATACATACAAACATACTTGTGAAGTTAAATAAAAGCTTGTTAAAAAATGATTTAAAGTGTTAAAATCATAATATAACACATATGGACATAAGATTTTGCTAAATAATTATTCCCTTTTTAATAGAAAATTATATCCTCTAGCCTATAGAGAAATAAAAGTACAGGTTATGAAAATAGAATAGGAGGGTAGTGAAATGTGAGAAGACAGAATATACAGAGTGGTCCGTAATGATTGGGTCATAAAAAAAAACAAAGTTTCTACGCATGAAAATAATGAGATTTTCCCAAATAAAAATAATTGGTTGTTTAAGAGATACAGGATGTTAAAGATTAATAGACTTATTTTATCCAACCAACAAGTTATTTTCTCTAAAAAGTTATTTGAACAGTCAAATGTAAAAAGGCCATGTAACTCAACCACATTCTACTGAGTTACTTCTTCAGTTTACCAAAAACAAAATTGCCAATATTTTCAGAACAAAAATCTGTTTACATAGTTATACCATTCGCCCTTTCGACTTCAGTAAGGAGTTTTATTTTACTAGGCCGTCAAAAATATTAGGGGCAGGGATAATATTAGCTTATTATTAAAACTGGTGTGAAATTGGCAGCCAAAATATTCAGCAGCCAGTTTGTTGTAATAGGCAATTTGGCACCATTTCTTTTTCATTCCATTTCACCAGGAAAATTATAATTCCTAGAGACACACATCTAAACACCTAACAGCAATCCTTTGCACCCCCTTCTGAGAAGTAAAAATTATCCCCAAAAGAAGAATTATAAATATTTTTTACGTAGTTCCAGAAACAGCTAAGGGATAAAACCAGGTGCAATGTAGTTGCTAAAGATGTGCAAGTAAATGGTTAAAATGGTAATTGCTTGCACCCCATCTGGGGACTAAAAACTACCCTCAGGGAGGGTAGATCCTAGACAACAGACTATTGTTCTTGCATTAATTAAGATCAAGATATAATGCAACGCACTAGGCAGGCATGATATTAAAACATAAACAGAAATAAAAAACTTCTTTAAACACAATTTCTCAAACAAATCCTTATAAATTTTAGATCTTGTATTTAAAACTTCAGCAGAGACTAACTTACAAATACTGCCAGACAAATATGAGTTCATTTGTAAACAAGTGGAATTTTTAGGACACGATATCACTCCAGAAAGCATCAGACCTAACCGAAAGAAAAAATAGTATCAATAAAAAATTCCCTTTGCCAAAAACTATAAGAGTTCAAATCTTTCTTAAAATTCTTGGGAGTTTTATCAAAAATTCATACCTAACTTTGACAATGTAACAAAACTATTGACACTAAGACTAAAAAAGGATTCAAAATTGACTTCACAAGATTACTTAGATTGCTTTGAACTTTGCAAAAATGTATTTTCTAACAAACCTTCAAACTTTCATAAAACATTTACTCTGTCTTGTCAGGCATCCAGCTTGGTCATTGGAAGCATATTGAGCCAAAACCGACGCCCGATTTCTTATTACTCCAGAACTCTTAACGCCATCGAATGTAACTACTCGACAATTAAAAAGGAACTTATAGAAATATTTTATACCATACTACATATTTAATCTAAAAATAAAAACTGACGATATGAATTCCATGGTAGCCCTTGTCGAATCAGACTCAGACCTAGATAAGAATAATAAATTATTAGAAATGCCTATCAAGCATATTCTAAATGACTCTAATCAAGAAATATATGAATCCCTATTGAAAGACTTCGAGTAAATCCTGAAAATGATTCCCAAACTATTATTACTAAATATATGGAAAATGTTTTTTATTATCATTTTATAATCTCAGAAAGTGGGTTGAATAAACTAAATACGCATCAATCTGAAAAAATATTCCCTAGTAAAACGAGACATATCATAAAATTAATTAACAAACAGTCAGGCGATGAAATCTTCCGATTTTTACGATTAATAAAATTAAAATTATAATGATTACGTTGAGTGAACAAAAAAATTATTAGAACCTTACAAAGTAACCTCTCTGGATATAAATTAGTCATTTGTAAGAAATGTGTTGAGGAAGTCTTCACTGAACAAGAACAACAACAAAAAATTAAATATAATTATGAGGCAAAAAACACACCAGTAAGTATAAGTAATAACAGCGCACCATACCCTTTTACAAAATTACTAGAATATATGTATTTTTCAATGTCAAACATGTATTACCATAAAAATGGGTTGTTATCCACTAATTCCAAAATTTCAACACATATACACTCCTTTTCTATTCGAGCTCCTGAATACTGGTATACTTTCAATTAAACAAAAGTTTCTTACTATTACTGATGTTTTCTCCAAATATGCTCTTGCTTACTGTGTTGGTAAAGTAACTGGACTTATTATCCAAGGCAGTTTCTTAAAATTTATAGAAAGCCATGGTTACCCACATAGAATTCCAGCAGTTTCTGGTGGGGAATTTAACGTTATGATTAAAGATTTTTATAATCCACACAGAATTTCTGTTCAATTTACATCTATGCAAGGACATACCTCCAACAGGAATATTGAAAGATTCTACTCCGCATGTGGGCCATACATGATTACAGACAACTTTTATTCAAACCCACCTTTTTATAAATTTTACAGTTACAGAAGAATCCCTCTTAGGTGGAACACCCTGTATAGGGTGTCCCATTTCAAATAAGTTGTTAATGTTAATAAGTTAATGTTGACTTCGGGTATAACTGGAAGTGCTATAAAGTTCTAAATGTTTAAGCTCTGTTGGCCCTACTGCATTTGCTAGATTACCAAATTTTCAGATTTATCGGATGGTGTGACACCCTGTGTATCGATCGATCTAAATAATAAATTAAACATTTTTTTTCATTTTCTATAATTGATAAAAATTTCTATATACCCTCACATGTAATAGAGAAATTAAAGAATGATGTTGGATGTGTTAAAATTCAATTAAACCTTTAGGATATCTTTAGTCAAATAGGAGATATACTTTCAAATTTGGAAACAGAAACAAATCTTGCTCAATATAATATTATCCATAGTTTTGTTCTACTACTAAGAAATATTAAACCTATACTAAATCAGCTCTAAGTTATATATGATTGAAAAGAGATAATTGATCTCGCCAACCTACATTCTTACTAAAACTATTTCTTTGGTAGACATTCTTGTATACAAACTTATAATCAAACTGACAGTACTATTTTTTCCTAAACCCAACAATATTTACCATTTGATTCCTATCGCTATCAATGGTCAGACCATTATTCCTGCCTGAAGTTAATTGTTATCTTTTCTCCTTTGGAGCTGCAGGTAAAGTGATCTGCACCACCGGGGTAGACGAAATTCGAGTAGGACTTTGAAGACACTGACTGGAAGAGATGTGGCAAAGAATTGGGCAAAAAATTTTTTTTTGTGAATTTTCTCATTGGAGAGCTGCAAGAAAGGGTGTTTTCCCACCCGGGTGGGGGGGAGGAGTTCAACTAGAAAATTGCTTCAAGGACATTAAGTAAAAAGGATGTGGCTAGGAATTGAACCCGCTTAAAATGAAATTGAATTTTTGCTAATTAATTTGTTTGGGGGTTTCAGGTAAAAGCTATGTTCGGCATGTCGGAGGTGGACTAAAGTTGGGACGTGGGACATTAACTGAAAAGATGTGACTAAACGTAGAACAGTTTTCAAAAAAAAATCTGTAATTTGCTCATTTGTGGTTAAATTGATAAATGGTTTCAACAAATAATTAAGTTATAATAGACAGAGACATTTAACCTTGCATTTAACTCTGCATTGTAATGAAATTTTGGATAAATTTCATTGCATTGCATTAAAATTATTTCTTATTAAATTTAACCATGCATTTCACCTCTTTCTTTCATACATGTTAAAAATTTATGCCTATGTATAACTCGTTATCAGGAAAATTGTATATCAAAATCGAATGCTTAAAGCAGATCTATACGGAGTATACAAAGTCAAGGAGATTTAAGAATCTCTCACTCACAAAGCATAAACTATACTTTCTTGCTCTTGTTTGTCTATTATCTGTGAAACGATAGTAGGTATTTTTCACTTTTGAGATTGGCGAGTCTATTCCTAATGGTAAGGAATATATTGCTATTAGAACATGTGGCATGTAATGCGACAAGTATTCTACTGACAAAATCACAAATAAACCTAAGGTAGGTGGAGAAAATTATAACCAAAAACCCTTTACTGTCCTACAACAACCAATTAAGTTAGAAAAAGTGAGGTTAAAGTGCACATTTTTTACATAACTCATTAAAGAAAAAAAATCCCATAACAAACTTTAAGTAATTCGTTTCAGTTACAGGAAAATATACTTTCCAGCCCGCTACACATTTTCAATTTTATAACTATTTTATTTCATTTTTCTTTTCATTTATGAGGTTCAAATTTTTTTTACCTGTCTATTTACGTTATTATCATCCATTTAAATATTTAACAATACTTCAGTTCTACTTTCACATTAAGGACAACTGATTACAATTAATTTACTTTTGGAAATATAATTATAGCAGTAATTAAATTTAAAAACTTATTACCTGATGTAAAGCGGTTAATCCGTCAACGTTTGCTGTATTTATATCAGCTCCTCGTTCCAGTAATTTTACAACTTCCTCTTTATCACCCGCAGCACAAGCAGCCAGAAAAACACATCCAGAGGAAAATTTTATTTTACGCGATTTCTGTTTTGGAGTTGATGGCTCACGATTTGTGTCAGAATCTTCCCAACGTTTTAACTGTTCCGCTCTTTTAAAAAGTGCTGAAGTCGACCGGGTTTCTACCGACATGATTATTTAACTCTTTAAAGAATAGTGACAGGACACCATTAAAAATATTATTATATTACTATACCAACATTACCAACCAACAGAACATTTGACTTCAGATTTCCTGAATTTGACTGACAGTACTGATCATGGAGAATGGAGATCTAGGCTATGTTCCGTAATCTGCTAATTTTACTATCAGCGCTATTGTACATAGAAAGTGCAATATCAAGCCCATGGAGACTATACAAGGAGCCCGAACTCCATGTACACAAAAATCTTACAAAAATAAGAGGGCGCTAGTGTTCCATATGTCCCATATGTAGAGAGGGGAGATAAAAAGCGGCAGTTTGAATTATAAATCAATCATGTAATTTTTGTAATGTGTTAAAAATTTTAAAATAAATAATGTAAGCTACTTTGAATTATATAAATCGTGAAAATTTCGGACTGTAATTAAACTAAATAGATAATAAAAAATATTAGCTTTATGAGAAGAATTTGGTGTTCGTAGAAAGTAGTGTTGGCAAAAACCGGAAAAAGGTGAAACCGGTTAACCGGGTTCCGTAAAAGCCGATTTCAGATAAAACCGGTTAGTCGAATAGTTGCTAAAACCGGATATTCTAAAACCGGTTATTCGAATAACCCGTTACTCGAATCGCCAAAACTGTCGCCAAAACCGGATATCTGAAAATCGGTGCTTTGTAAAACTGACGAGATATACGATGTTATTCACATATTCACATATTTTAAATTTTAAAGTGAAATCTACTGTTAAAAGTTAAAATGTTAAAACAGTTAATTTATTATTTATATAAATGGATTTGGTCGTTTGGTGTATGTGGGTGAGGGTTACTGTTTTTTTTATCAGTCTGTGTCTGTGTCCCAGGATAAAATATAAAAATAAATTGTATTTCCCTTATAATAGTTCAACCCTTCACATATGTATGTACTATGTAGCATGTGTCAATAACTACATAGCACTAAGACTATATTATGGAGTTATGTAGTTATTGGCTATAAAGAAAGAATCCGATTATTCGGATGTTTGAACAGATTATATCGAATAATCGGTTATTTGAATAATTGGTTATTTGAATAATCGGATATTTGAAGAATCGAATAACGGTTTTCGGGTTTCGTAAAAATCCGAATTATCCGAAACCGGTTAACCGACTATCCAAAAAACCGATTTCAGTTGCCAGCACTAGTAGAAAGAAACTAGTTTTCAAGGAATTTATGACGTGTCTTGTTAATATTAACATATAAGTAAGGTTTATGTTTTTGATAATTACTTTGTTAAAGATTTTAGTTTAATGTTAGTAAAAAATAGTCACATTTTATACAGGAAGTTGCCTTTAAAAAAATAGTAATTCTTGTATTATTAATATGGAATTTTTACTTGTGGTAATAAAAAATAGAATATAAAAAAACTCGGTGTTTTAAATAAACTTTTTAAAATATTACAGATGTCCGATTTTGAGTCCAGTGATTCAGATGACTTATTAGACGCATTGTCCAGCTTGAGNTAAAAAATTCATCGGCTGGTGCTGATTTGCTTAGTATATTTTTTATAAAGCTATGCTGTCCCTATATTTTATATTATGTTGTTCATATAATTAACAGTATTTTTATTGACTGTCAATTTCCTTCTTCCTGGAAAATTGCTCTAGTGACGCCAATCCCTAAGAAAGGTGATCCTAAGACTTTTTCTGATTTACGCCCTATCAGTATTTTACCAGGATTGTCGAAAATTGCGGAAAAGATAATTGAAATTCAAATTCGTGAATACTTAGAAAATTATAGTATTTTACCTGTTTTTCAGTCTGGTTTTCGTCCTGGGCACAGTTGCTCTACAGCTCTAATGCACATTATTGATGATATTGTGGACGCTACTGACTCGGGAAAATGTACGCTCCTAATTTTACTTGACTACAGCAAGGCATTCGACACCATAAATCACGATGTTTTAATTGCTATTTTAAAATCATGTGGTTTTGAACATGACAGCATTAAGTTGCTATATTCATACCTTAATAACAGGACACAGTTTGTAAGAGTCTCTGAAAACCTATCTCAATCTAGATCTATCTGCAAAGGAGTCCCCCAGGGTTCCATATTAGGTCCTTTGTTATTTACAATTTATACATCACAATTTATAAAATTTGTCAAATATTGCTCCATTCACATGTATGCTGATGACACTCAATTATATTACTCGTTTTATCCTAAAGATTATCAATCAGCTATGCATAAGGTAAATGATGATTTAAATACAATATTTGATATTTCCTTACAGCATTCTCTTAGTATAAATCCTTCTAAAACAGCCTTAATTTTATTCGGCAAGAAGACTAAAGCTTTTGATATCTCTAAATTAATTAAGATTAATATAAATGGGCATTTGCTAGAATTTTCTAAGAGTGCAAAAAATTTAGGTTTAATCTTAGATTCCAACTTAAGATTCAGGGAGCAAGTTAAAAAAATGGCCCAACGAGCATACCTAGGATTGCGGCTTCTATATCCCCATCGTAAATATCTAAATATAAATACTAAGAGAATGCTTTGTGAGACATTGATATTATCCCAGTTTTCATTTTGTGCCCCTGTAAATGGACCTTGCCTAGATCTTGACAGCAGCAACCTCATCCAACGCGTTCAAAATGCCTGTATACGTTTTATTTTTGGTATTCGTAAATTTGTTCATGTATCGCATAAGTTGCATGAACTTGGCTGGTTGGATAAGTTCAAACGGAGAAAACTTTACTCACTTTGTTTCTTTCATAAACTTTTACTTACTAAGACTCCACCTTATCTATATAACAAAATTGTATTTCGCAGTGATGTGCATAATATTAATATTAGATCCAAAGGTTTATTCAGCCCTCCTCAACATAAAACGTCTTTTTTTGAGAGAGGTTTTAAATACAATATATACCGGTTGTACAACAACGTCACAGTCGGTGCAGGATATATTAGTTGTGCAAAGTTCAAAAAATTTGTTAGGACAATGTTATTTTCTTAGGTATGTTACTTATTTAATGCTACTATTGTTATTATTGTTGTAATTTATATGTTTACTGTGATGTAATACTAACTACGGTGCTTTATATATTAGATATATGGTATTCAAGGGTTAAGTGGTAGAGCACAATTATTGTGAACTTCCCCTTGAGATTTCC